CTCGTTCTTTATGGACTGTGAACGGTATTTTAGTCACTTCACTTTTCGGAGGAAAGTTGCAAGTGTCAGATGATTCAAAATCAAACGACTTCAAAATCCATCACAATGGAATTTTTCCATGCGGGTTTCTCCAATGTGACCAAATGCAGTGCCACACACGTGTGGTATTCTCATAGTCTTGCTACATTCAGCGTCAGTGTTGTGGATGTATCATTTTACCATCAATATTCATAACATACAACCCATCTTGGATGGAAGCATGGCCCTTCATGTTATTCATAATACTGAACAACAATTGTTTTTTTTATTAACAACCCTTTTGCAATAAACATTGTGCAATGGGCTAGAGTGTAAGAAACTCTAAATGAATTATGAAAGTAAAACACAGAGGTAATATATTAATATCATTATTCATAACATACATCTCATTCATAATGAAAGTATGGCCCTTATGTTTATTCATAATATTGAACATCAAAAGTTCTCTTATGAACAACCTTCTTGCAAGATACCTTATGCAAAGGGATAGAGTGTGTAAAGTTCTAAAATGAATTATGAAAGAAAATACATAGGTAATACACCGATGGAAGGTATAGTAACTTTTACTATGTTTCCAACACGTATTAAAACCTCATTCTTAGCTAGTCTTTTGAGGCCATAGTAGCTCTTACATCGATTCACAATAGAATGCAATCGAGCGGGTATCTTTGTGATTAACTCACAATACCCAAAGATTAGTGATTAACATGTTTAACCATAATTCCTAAGAACTATATCTTTGACCAGCCTTCTGTACATCAAAAACTTGTATGACATTCATACATGAGCTGGACATTCCAGTCTTCTTTCTTTCTGCCTTTGTACTTCTAACAGTTTAACTTTTAGTATTTCTCCTACTCGCAAAAGAAGCACCCAACTTAAGAGTGGCGTTAGCTTTGGACTTCTTACGCGTGTAAGTCATACTAACACCCTTTGGACACTTCCTTTCTCTTGAAGTTGTTGTTTTATTCACCTGTCATCATATGACAGGCATTCTTCTGGATCCCTCTCTTATCAGTCTAATGCATAGTAAACACTTTACTAATAATTTTCAAACAAAGATTGCTTTGGATATTTCATATCTTTCAGTCTTTGTTTGTATCTGAAAATTAATTTTCAGTTCCATGAATATCACATAACTATCCCAACTGTCGAAGTTCAAGTGTCATGGAAGCAAACATATTGCACTTGACCGTAATGGAATTCTAGCTTTTGGATAGAAGGACGAGAGTCTCATCATCCATAGCATTTGCGGGAGGATACCGAAAGCATGCGATAGGACAAAGTCCTTCTCGGCACTCTTGAGGACATTCCTCACATTACGTTACCAACCGTAAAGTTTTAACCAGATATTTAACAGCTATTCAATTTTAACAGGGAAGGTGGAAATGCGAGCCATTATTCTACAACTATTTTGCAAGAAACACTTGTTCATCTTTCGATGGGCGTGTTCCGAGCTCAGGACTCTTCTGCCTGAACGTCAAAGACAACCAAGTGATCTTGCTGCGAGGTCTGACCTCACCCGCCTCATTCCTCTTGATTCATTCGTGCTCATGTGTACATGGCGCACCCTGAAAAGATATGAATTTCAGACGGTGCTACACTTGGATGAACACTAACTACTTTGAAATTTTAAGTGAGAGATCACCCTAATAAAAAGCGACTGCCGCGCAATCAAGAAGGGTGCATCATAACGGATAGACATCTCAGACAATTCATAATAGCATGATATGGTATAGCCCTTTCTGACGGAGAAGTATTTCATTTCTTCGTCTTCGGCATTTGCGTCGGTGTTCACCTTATTTGCCGTCAGCCAGTGGACGACACAGAATTGGCTGATGGTAAAGACCTTGTTTGCCATCAGCCACTTCTTTGCTATCCGTTTTCGTGTGGCTGACGGCAAAGACCTTCTTTGCCGTCAGCCAACGGACGACAGAGAGTTGGCAGACGGCAAATAAGCTAATTCCAGTAGTGCTACTTGTTAGTTTCTTTAGATGACGATGATGATGTTCCATGTCTTGCAATACTTATTTCATGAAGTTTCGCCGATATTGATCTTTAGATGATGAACTTGAGTATAATTAGATGATGATGATGATCTTGAGTATCTTTAGATGATGAACTTGATGATGATCTGTCATATTTCTGTGTATATATGCATAATCTCATATTTTGTGTCTTTGAATGTTGTCAAATTGAATGAAAAAGAGAAAACAGGGCATATAAAAAACAGAACAAAACTATGCCTATGCCTTACCCGTCGGCATAGTTATTGCCAGGTGAACCCAGCAACCGACATTTGGCAAGCTATGCCGACGGCAAAGCTGTCAGCATAGCCCTTCACCCGCGGACGCCCAAGGGTCGACAAGTGGCTCTCTAAGCAAACGGCCCCGTCGGCATGGTTTTTTGTCCAGGGGCAATCTGCTGCCGCCACGTTGCACAGGTAGGCCGTCGGCTTAGCCATGGGCCTATGCCGACGGCCTGGCCATCGGCTTACCTGCGCCACGTGGCGGCCCATGGTTCGGCTGGCATAGTGACGGTGCCGTCAACGACCGTCCCGTGCAAAACTACGCCGACGGTCATTCTACGCCGACAGTCGTACGGACGCCGTCGGCATAGGCCCTATGCCGACGGCTTATCTATGCCGACGGTCTGACAAGAGTACGCTGACGTATGCTACGCTGACAGGCCTATGCCGATGGCAGCCGTCGGCTCAGATCTACGCCGACGGGAAGGAGCCTATGCTGACGGCCCTTGGCCGTCGGCATAGACCGTGGATCCGATAGTGGCTGCTCGGTGGTCTCGCTGTCGTCTCTTAGCTCGGGGATTGCGGAGAGCACCTCGAGGATGATCATGGAGTAGTGCGACGCCATGGCGCGGCCGCTCTCGGTGCAGAGCACGGGATGGGGAACGCTGTTGTCGTCGCACCTGAGTCGCACCGCCTGCACAATGCTGGACGCGAACTATGACGGTAGGCAATTTATCCACGTCAACATGGTGCATCCCTAGCGCCAAACAGGCTGACAGTAGCCCGTGTAATCCTACCGCCGAGGTGCCCGGCCATAGGTGGGTACAAGCACTGTAATTTTTTTGACGAAACACTGTTGGAGCAGCTTTTCTTTTTCAATTATAAAAGGAAATGTGTTACAGGTATTGTGGCCGGAGCAGGCTGCTATACATCAACTATGACAACAGTAGGCAACCTAGCAACATATAGCAGCACATAATTCAGTCCGGCTCCCGAGGTCTGTCCAAAAACAGCTGAATCCTATGAGGCTGGTTGTAATGAAAAGTATCATATACTAGTATGCATATGATACTAGTGTATGATACTACCTCCCTAATGCATAGTATCATATATTAGTATCATGTAGTACTCTATTTATTGTCATGCATGACACAAAGTAGCATAGCATTTAATATGATACGGTATCATGATATGACACTACACCCTCTCTTCCTTCATTTAATGCTATGACACCTCATCAAAATTGCCTAGTTGACATGCATGATACTAGCTATGATACTACCATTACGACCAGCCTGACACCCAGCCTGGTTCCATATCATAAATTCATCAATCATCGAGTTGAAGACCCTGCTGACGGTGGACGCCTTGCTTTGGAAAATCCGGGCGTTCCTCTCGCGCCATGGGAACCACCAGATTGCCACCGCCAGACCGCCCCAGCCCATATTTAGATTTTTTTTTTACGGTAGAGCGTGCGACCCTACCGTCAAGGGCCTCGGTGGTTGGCAGTTATACACTATCGTCATTGCCTCCGGTGGTAGGAAAAGGGACAGATCTCAAAAAAATAAAAAAATCAAAGCATGGTCAGATTTGGCTCAACTTTTACAAAATGGTCAAAACACCAAATTTGTCCCCCGCGGCACCCCTATTGGATCCGCCACTGTGTGTACGTAGTAGCATGAATTCGAGAGTCCATTCTGTCCAGAGCAAGCCAATATCCCATAGCTAGCGTTCCCACTCATTCCCCGTGGCATAATGCGTTGAGATCAAAGTCTCATGGAGCCCTGCTAAACTTCAAAAGTTTGGTTCTAAATTTTACCAATGGGAGACATTCAGTCCAATCTCATCCTCATCCTCATCCTCATGGGGTGCACTTGAGAGACACCTCCAGAAGCTGGGTCCGTGCTCGCTGCCGCTTCTGGCGTGCTTGCTGAGATAAAGGCGAGCAATAATGTATGAGAGATAGGATTATGCGCGTATACAGTGTGCATGGAAGTGAAAGAGAGGGCAAGAGGAGGGGGAAATATCAGGGTAAAAAGATGTGGCTGAGAAGACGGAGCACCTCCCGTCTACAGCGTGGTTCAGAAAACAAACACAGGGTTTTCGCCTGTGGGAGCGGCGTGCTTCCAGGCAGTTTCCGACCAATAATGCATGCATGCACTGTCTCAGGAGTCAGGAGTGACCCGTCCCACAGTGCAACCTCATCATTCATCAAAGCGGCCAGATCTCAAGAACGAGTTAGGGGCACCTCCATCTCATTCTCACCCGTCACCACTCACCACCATTGCTCTTGCTCCACCAAAACCCACCAACCATGGCGCCTGTGTAGCCGTCCCACGCTTGCTCGTCTCGTCCCGCTCCCAGCAAGCACGCCCGCAGGGGCGGCGCGCAGACCTAGCTAGCATTTGGATTTTGGAGGCGGTCGCTGCCTGAAGTGAAGAGCCTGCCGGTGCAGCTTGGGGATCTTTTCTGGGAGCTCCTTGGTGTTGGATCTGACGGCGAGGGTGCCTTGCGCAGCTATGCTCTGCTTGGTTGTATACAGGTAATTAAGCAGCCACGTACTTATTTGCTTTCATGCATTGCGCAAAATTAAAGGTGGTGGCCGGTGGAGAGAACAGTTTCTTTTGGTTTTCCTACATCGGATTCCTGTCTTGTAACTTCCAACCAGGTTTTCTTCCTAGAGGATCCATACATTGAGATTTGAGAGCCAACCATGGTGATGGAGGTGGTAACCGGTGTCATGGGAAGACTACTTCCCAAGCTGGTCGAGCTGGTCGCGGGTGAGTACAAGCTACAGAAGGGCGTCAAGGAAGACGTTGAGTCCCTTAAGAAAGAGATGGAGAGCATGCACACTGCCCTTACAGAGGTGGCGGAGGTGCCAAGGGACAGCCTTAATCGGCAGGTCAAGATCTGGGCAGATGAACTGAGGGAGCTGTCGTACGACATGGAGGATGTCGTTGACAACTTTCTGCTGTACGTCGAGGGATCTGATCCAGCAGCCAACTCGAACAAGCTCAAATGCCTAATGGAGATGATGACCGGCTATTTCACCAAAGCCAGCGGCCGCCATCAGATCGCCAATGACATTAAGGCTCTCAAGAAACTTGCCGAAGAGGTGGCTGCCCGGCGTGCCAGATGCCAAGTCGGCGGTGTTGTTGTCAATCCAGCTAACAAATCCAAGGTTGACCCTCGTATGCTGGCTTTGTACAAGGATCAGCAAGAGCTCGTTGGCATTGAAGCCGCTCGGATTGAGCTAACCAAGAGGCTGGCACTTGGTGATGGGAATGTGTCAAATCAGCAGCTCAAGATAGTCTCTATTGTCGGACCTGGAGGACTCGGCAAGACAACTCTTGCCAGGGCAGTGTACGACAGTCTTCAAACGCAATATGTTCACAAAGCTTTTGTTCCGGTGGGTCGAAATCCTGAAGTGAGCAAAGTTCTCAAGGACATCCTCTTGGAACTGCGCGTGCGTACCAGCGATGTAGCCACACTGGATGAAAGACAACTTGTCGAAAAACTCCGAGAACAACTTCAGAATGTCAGGTTCGAAGGGTGTCCACCTCAATCATGTTTATATAGTTTTAAAAAATGGCACGTTTATCTAATTTTTCGTATAATCTGCCAAATAGAGGATATGTAGGACTTAAGATGCTAGATGTGTTGACACAATGTGGGTCTACATGTTATGATTGATGCCATCTAGTACCAATAATTCGAAGTCTAGTACTATGGAGTTGACTTTTATCAACCAGGTGGTCAATCTTAGCGTCATAACACAACGTTGAATCTAATGAAGCAACATGTTGTCAATTTCATTTGAGATGTTTTAAATTTTAATTTGGACGGCCTATTCAATCATGGTGTATTTTTTACAAAAGAAAGTAGATTTTTTTTCTTGCTTTCCTGTTTTTTTTCTATCATTAGGTACCAACCATTCTCGGCAGAATTCAGAAATAAATCTAATATGCGAGCTTCTCATGCAAAACTATGGCCCAGTTCTTTTCAGCAGATTATGGAGAATCTCTGTCTGGAAAATCTTACGCCAAAAGAACTGGATTGTATCTCCAAAATCTTCAGAGGATTCTACAGAATCCCAGTGCAATCCAAAATCTCCAAAATAGTTGGATTTTCCCAGAATCTCAGGATTTTAGTAAGTCCCACCAAAGAAAACGTTTGGAATTAAGAGAGTGCCCCTGTTGCAGCACGTTATTACAGCAAGATTGCCACCGAGCCATCCACGGCCGATGCCCATCTGTTCGCATCGAGCGACCTCGTGCAGGGCTGCCCGCTAGGATTCAGCGCCGCCGTCCACCCCAGTTCGCCGTCCCGGACCTCGCCGCCGCAGGCGTGGCCCTAGCCGCCGCCGGCCAGGTACTCGCCGCTGCCGGTCCCCACTCCCGCCGGAGTCCAGCTTCCTCTGCGGGCCCTCTTCCCCTCTGCCATCTGCTGCCACCGGGACACGCAGAAGCTGCCGTCGGGTCTCTGCACTGGCTACCGACGGCGCCTCCATCCCGAAGCTGCAGCCGAACATCAACAGCTCCTCCACTCCTCCAGAGCGATCCATCCTCTCTCTCCCAACTCTCTGTTCTTTTTTTAGCTAAATTGGATAGATGCAAAAAACTATTGCATAGATAGATGAATCGATGTGTCAATTTGTTAGATGGATGGATGGACATATTGTTCAATTTGTTAGATGGATGGATAGACTGGTTGTTTTAATTTGTTAGATGGATGGATCGTGCTAAAATAATTTGTTGATATTGTCAATGCTGCTGTATATTGGTGCTATTGCCGGAAATTGGCTTTGGCTCATAGGTGATATCGGTACTGTGAATCTTTGCTATTGTATGGAATGTCACTACATTAATAAATTCTGATGTTCAGTGCTAATGTTGCTAGTCTTGTGCCTTGAGATTATTCGTTCTACTTTTAGTTCACTCACATTTGACAAGGTATTGTTCGAAATAACAAAGTGTTAACAATTCATCAAACAGTTTCTGTCAAGGGGTACTACCGACATTTCAGCACACAACTCTTTTCAGAATCTCAAACTAAAATCTCAGAAAAGAACTCGACGCCGAATTCTGGGAGAAGCAGATTCTCGGAGAATTTTCTAGAATCTTGATTCTGCAGAATCCCGGGCGAAAAGAACTGGGCCTATGTTTGGGGATTAATGAGAACCGTTGTTGATATAAATGAAATCAATCAAATTCACGCCGCCATTCCTTCTTTGTTGCACCTTTTTTGTAAATTGAATGATAACATATACATGTATAGATATATATTCCTTATCCAAGTGGCTGGTATACATCTTGTTCTTCTAATGGACACTCTGCATAGTTCAGAACTAACTAATGCATGGTTCTTGCTCTGTCATGTGTATAGGTACTTCATCGTGGCGAGTAATCAAATGTGCTTTGTTTGATAACAATCATGGAAGTCGAGTAATCACAACTACTCGCAATCAGGAAGTCGCAGAAAACACCGGTGATGTCTACAAGCTAAAACCACTTTCTCATGATTTGTCTGAAGAACTATTCAATAAAAGATTATTTGGTGGTAAAGAAAATTGGCAGACTTCCGAGGTATCAAAAAAATTTCTACAGAAATGTGGTGGTGTGCCGCTCGCTATCATTGCAATAGCTAGTTTCCTGGTTGGTAAACCTGTGGAGGGTTGGTCAACGGTATACAACTCTATTGGTTTCAGACATACAGATAACACACATATTGATAACATGAGAAAGATATTATTATTTAGCTATGATGATCTACCTTGTTATCTAAGGCCTTGTGTATTGCATCTGAGCATATTTCCAGAGGACGCTTTCATCATGAAAGAGACATTGATATGGATGTGGGTAGCCGAAGGCTTTGTCAGTGAAGAGCCAGGGAAACGGTTATTTGAGATTGGAGAAGGATACTTTGGTGAACTTGTAAATAGAAGCCTGATCCTTCCTGTAGAGCACAAAGAAGAGAATGTCATATATGGTTGCCGTGTTCACGATATGGTACTTGATACAATTTGTTGGTTGTCAGAGAAAGAAAATTTTGTTACCATAGTGGATAATAATGGGAAATACTCAACTTCAGAAAGCAATAATGTTCGTAGGTTAGCTGTCCAAACAAGAGATGAAGAGCAGCACAACCATTTTGCCAACACAAGCATGCCAAAATTGAGGTCATGTTATGCCAGCAGGTGTCATAAAAGTATGATGCCACCACTTTCAAGCTTTCAAGTGCTGCATGTTCTAGACTTGGAAAACTGCGTATTTCTGGAAAACTGTCATCTTAAGCATCTTGGAAGGTTACATCTGTTGAGATACTTGAGTCTGGAGAACACAAGTATTAGTGAGCTCCCAAAAGATATAGGAGAATTAAAGTTTCTGCAGACACTAGACTTGAGGAACTCCGAGATAAAAGAATTGCCACAGGGCAATAGTTTGCTAAGGAAGCTGAAGCGCCTGCGAGTTGACAGGGACCGCCGGAGCGCTGGTACCAGGGAAGATGTAGGTATAAAAGTGCCGAAATGGATAGGGAACCTGACATCCCTGGAAGAGTTATATTTGAGTATAACTGGTGAATTTTCTACCTTCGTTGAAGAACTCGGTAAGCTGAAAGAGCTGAGGGTGCTGGTCTGTCATTTAATGGGAGATTTGAATGAGAAGAAAACTTTGGCGGATTCATTAAGCGAGCTTGGGAAACTCCAAATCTTACATCTTGAGGGCCTGTATGGGTGGTCGAAATCGGAGGCAGACACCTACTGGAAAGACTATAAGCCCCCTCAGCAGCTAGGTGATCTGTCCATATCGACCAGGTTCAGTAGGCTCCCGCCGTGGATTAAGTCCTCTCTGCTTCCGAACCTCTCCAAACTAAAAATTGATGTATATCCTATGAAGAAGCAGGATGTGATAAACCTTGGGGGGTTGCCAGAGCTTGTTAAATTGGATGATCTGTGGATACCGGCAGGCATGGAGTTTGCTGATGGTGTGTTCCCCAAGTTGAGGAGCTGCGGGATAAATGCACCTTTCTGGTTTCTGCCGGGAAGTATGAAGAACCTTGAATCCATTACGGTGGGCACAATGCGGAACTTGACGGAGAAGGATGCCGTCACTGATTTTGACTTTACTTGTACCCTGAGGAACCTCCCTTTGCTTGTGGTGGTCTTCGCTAATGTGGAGAAGATGGAGGCAGCGTTGAGCGGAGCAATCCACAACCATCCCAACCGCCCCTTCCTTCATCTCGGAAAGCATGCTGAAGACAGGGTATTACTACATGCTTTTGTATCTATCTATCTATCTATCTATCATTCTATCTATCTACATCTATCTATCTCGTGCCAACTTTAGTGTTTTGTTATAACAGCTACCCGTTTGGCCTTTTTTAGATGATGAAAAAAGAACCAGCCTCCCCTCTGCATCGTGCTGCCAGTGTTGGTACGTCTACTCAGATAATCGTGGAAGACGAGGAGGACGAAGGATCGAGCTCCCAACAGATAGCACACGAGGTACTACCTGCTTTACTCCCTGCTAGCTACCTTCTTTTATAAGCCCCGTGGTTGGTCCTTTTCATCCCAGTTCCATGACGACAATGGTAACCGCGTCGGAGAAGAGCTCGATCCTGAGCAGAGGAACCAAGTTCAGCTGCTCGATCGACCAGATGATCACCGTGCCACGCCATGCGCCCGGGTGCTATACTTGCACCACCCCTCCCTCCATCTATTATTCTCTGCTGCAGTTTCTGCATTGTACTAATCGGCCGTCTTCCATTTACCTTATCTATCTCTTTTATGTATGTAGTCCCATGACAACAAAGCGTCCGTTTCAACAGGTACCATTACACCTTTTGATACTGCCTAAAATGAGTTCCTTGTACATTTTTTCAGTCGGACAAGAAACGCAAAGCCAACCACGCCAGTGTTGATGCAGCAGTGGGGTGGCACGACACTGATGTTGATGCAGCAATGGGGTGGCGCAAAGCCTTCAACGTCCCTCCCAACCGTCCATCACCATGGAGCATCACAACTAACGGTGTCAGCGCCTTCTATCCAGCGGTCAACTACAATTATTTTGTATGTTACTACTAGCTAGACGGATCCATGTTCCTTATTACTCTGTTTCGAGTTTCCAGTGACCCAATTATAGCTTTGCTTCTTTTTCTTTTCTTTAGCAAGACCTCTACGCGAAAGACGAGGAGGAAGAAGAAGAATCTCAGGCAGATCAACAGGAACAGGTACTAAATGCTTACTACTCCATCACCCTATTGTGTTTTATTATAGTCTCAGCCGTTGATTAAGTTAAAATGGAGTGGTTACTTGCACGGATCTAGATGCACTGAATGGTTATTAGCGTGAGGGAAATTAGGGGAAAAAATTCCGGAAAAATTAATAGTCACGCTAATAACACAAGTTGCCTCGTTTATTTTCAGCTGGCAGAGGAACACAAAGAAGCCGAGGTCGGGTCAGCAGAGACGACTCCACCAGAGACCCAGAACACAGTCGACGTCGCTAGACTTGCAGAAAGCGGTGAGGCCTCCACCGGTATGCCTGCTCCTGTGCCGGCTCGACGGAGGAGGAGGCCTTGGGCGTGCTTCGGTTGCCTCAAGTCCGCCGGCAGTTCTTCTCACTAGTGTGGTGCTTCAGAAGATGGCTCTGGCCGAGAATGAGGCAATTGCCTTGCTGTGGTTTGTGATCGGTTGAACTTTTGTTGGACTTCTTAAACTGTTTGTTGCTACTATTTGGCATGTAATAGGATAGTGTGATGCGCCAGGTTTTTTGCCCCGTAGTCTATGTATATGATGAAGATCAGGCATCGACAGCGGGTTTCCCTGGCGGGTTTGGATTATCCTTTCCATTTCCACATGTTAATTAAGACTTGGTTGTTTCTTTGTTTGAGGAACGGACTTGGTTGTTTCTGCTATGCTTATGCCAAGTATTGCTATGCCCATTTGAGAAAACAAAATTGGCGTTCATCTGTCTACTGAATTCATACTTTCCTTCTAGTACTCGACCTCATTTGGAAGATGACTTTGTTTGATCGGAAGACATACAAGTTGCAAGCTCATTCCAAATGGAAGTATCAGGAGAAAAAAAATGCTTCTACTACATATCAGGCTGGACGGAACGAGCGGGCTTTTGGGCCCGCTCGTGGCCCGTTCAGGACCGGACCGGACGGTCCAGGACCGGTAGCAAAACTGGTCGGTCCGGGCTGCAATATTGGGCCCGAGAAAATGTCGGTCCGGTCCGGGTTTTAACCGAGCCGCTCGGTCGGACCGCGAAAGCGCAGTCACCGCGGCTGTCGTTCCTCGTCGTCGCAGCCACCTGCATCCTCCGGGTGAACCAACATGTCTCCGAGCTTCCGCTCTCCATCCTTCCTCTCCTCCCCGTGCGCCGTATCCTCTTGCCGCCGGTCGCCATCACTGTCGTTCATGCACTGCCGCCGATCTGGAGTTCTCGAACATGGCATCCACCCCAACCATGGCACCAATTCCTGCGGGTATTGCGGCCGCATGAGCTGCGGGTCAAGACGTTTTTCTTGCAACTGAATGGAACGAGAGAATGGCCAGGAACGAGTATTGCGGCCGTGCCATCCAACGTCCACCCATACGCAGCTGTGTTGTCGCTGCATGAGCTGAATCGTGCCATGCCACGAGCTCCCACAACGGCCAGATCTAACTAACCTCAAACTAATCGAAGAGGTGGACATGCACACGTTGCATGGCAAGTGATTTCTGCATTAAAGGAAAACTAAGCAGTAAACATGCACACCGGGCACAGCTCTGAAGAACTGTGACACGATCCGAAGCGCTCTGCACCTCGCCGGCGCCACGAGGAAGTACTAGGGGACGATCCCGAACACTCTGAAGGTGAAGCCGCAGCTGTTGTTCGAGGCTTTTATGCACTTCTTCTGGACGAGCGCGAAGACTGTCAGTTAAATACGTGGTGTCAAATTTTCAGAAAATTCAGTTTCGTGAGTTTCAGAAAATTCAGTTCGTCAGTTTCACTCGCGCACGTCGTCCAGTTCGTCACATCACTCGCGCACGTCGCCCAACTCGCCGCTGCACTCGCGCACGTCGTCCAGTTCGTCACATCACTCGCGCACATCGCTCAACTCGCTGCTGCACTCGCGCGCGTCGCCCAACTCGCCGCTGCACCCGCACACATCAACCCTGCCCATTCGGTCCTTTCGGTCCATTCGGTCTGGCCCGGGCTTCGTCGCCGCCGGTCCGGTCCCTGAGATCAGGACCGTCATGTTGCTCGGTCCGGTCCGGCCCGGACCGCCGGCGGCCGGTCCAAACGACGGCTCGGACCGGGACCGGGCCGGCCCGGACCGTGTCCACCCTGAACTACATATTTCTTCCTAAAAAAACTGAACAATATATATAGTTAAATATAACATCAGAAATTAGGAGCGTCAACTGAATCAACCTTTATTGGGAGCATGGAAGAAAATCCTACATACCAGCTTGACTGCCTCAACACACGATTACCCGTGGGAGGAGCTCGACCCCGACAGTAGCCACTGCCCACTGGTTCTTCCCCGGCGGTGGTGGTCATGGAGCTTCTGGCATCTCGATGGTTTCACAATCCTTGGACAAACACCCTAGTCACTGTTAGATGTGTATAGTCCTTCTTTTTTATATCCTCATTATATAAGGAGCTTTCTGCATTTCATCTTATATGTACATGTATTGGCCTTTGGTCCCCAGTATTGTTTGGCAATGCAACTCTCAATTGATTTGGGTGCATACACGCACGCATATATTTACAATGAGCAGCCCACGGCCTCGACTATACATGGTA